AAAATTTAAAAGAAATTATAGTAGGTATGTGGTTACATTTCCTCATCTGAAGACAATGTGTGGGTTTCTGAGTGCAGTTTAATGGATTCATAAATATAAGGACTTCAGCCACAAGATAATTTTTCCTTGGTTGCCAACATTGTTCATAAAGGCGCAGAATGAAGTGGAACAGGGAAGATAATAATGAAAAATAACAGATGGGAGAGTTTTATATACAGTATCATGGTCATACCACTTTTTTGTTTCCATTGTTCCAGAGTGTGTAAAACAAGTGATCGTTAACAAAGAGAAGTGTCAAAGTGTTAAAGGAAACACATGAATTCTGTGGTACAAAAGTGCCACTGACCTTCGGAGTGTCTGCTTTGGGTTCTGCTCACACTGTGTCTCTGCTCTGTACTGTAGCTACGTCGTCACGTTGCTATGAGCCAATTTCTCCAGATAAGATCTGGAACAACTTCAGATTTAAGATTTCACACAGAGCAAGTAGAGCAAAGTAGAGCTAATCCCAATTTGTTTTATTCCTTCTGTTTCAGTCAGTAAATAATGACTGTTGTTACCAAGCAAGAAAGAGGTAGTGAAGTCAAAGTGTTTAAAACTTTATATCATCTGTGACTTACAGGGTACAGACTGTCATCTGTCACTCAGAGCCACTACTGCTCGTAGTGATTTTGAGTATTATTCGTAATATTAAAGTAAGTACAATATATATTCCATGTTTTATCTGACAAAATAAATATTGATAAATATTAACGTTGGGCAACAATTTATTATTCTTATTGCGTTTAATTAAACGTGATAGATTGAACTTGATTTACCACAAAATGTGCAAAATTAAAATAATTCATACGTAGTATTGCCTTTATTTAGTCCATGAACACATGTGCTGTGAAATTTGGTTTTCACAAATAATACTCATTTCCATTAATTTTCTTGTACATCTCAACTTAGAAAATCAGGGTACAGCACCACATCCATAACATTAGAACACTTGAAAACCTGCTTTCTTTTAGTTTCTGAACAGGTACCATAACAAACATTTGTCTTTTATCGAGGCACAGCAAAAACTGTTTATGTGATATTAGAGTGAGATGAAGTGGTATTTTTCTGTGCAGAATTTCCATCCTTTCTTCGGCTACCTACAGAGAGATGACTCTACCAACTCCTTAAGGACCTATTGGTATTTTTTGTATTAATGAGTAAAACAAATGATAATAAAAGTATGTAAAGCCTGGTGGAAATAACTAAAACAAGCAAGCGTGACTCTTTGGAATGTCACAGGCCCATTGCAAACACCAACAAGCAGTCTAGTGTACTCAAACAACCCAAAAGGGGCAGTGAAGGCCGTCTTGTCTGTCTCCTGCACTGCTACATGCTGATAGCCACTGGCAAGCTAGATATCTTCTGGTGAGAAGATATCCTATCTAACATATTGGCAGTTAGTTAGCAGCAATTAGTTTGAACCAGTTGGCTGGGTTTATGTCTTCTTGTCTCTACATCCCTGTCTAGAAAGTGTTTTTGGAAGAATGTCTCAGAGATAGTGCTAACCTGGCTCCTAGTATCTAACAGGGACTTGGCCATAACTCCGCCCACCCTGACCTCAACTTTAGGACAATCACCTACCACTCGCTCGCTCACAAGTAAGAGTATGGGAGCCTTTGAGCTCAGCTCGGATTGCCCGGCTCTTGCAAACTAGGAAGCTAGTATCTCTGAGAAGGTGCAATACTGACAGCAGACTGACCCTCCTGTAGACGTGGTCTGCACTCTCTCGAAATGTGTTCTACTCCCTTGCATTTCAAAGAGACTACCTTTCCATCATCTGTGAACTAGAACTTTGGAATAGGCAAAATAGAACAGCACAGGACATTGAACTATTCTTTCTGAATAGGAAAAATTGGTGTTATATTAAAATATAAATAAACATATATATTATTACCAATGAGTGCAAAATTAATAGATTGTCCCTACAATACAAACAGCCCGCAACTTCACATAAACAACATAACATTAACAGGCAATAAGATCATAACAATAAATTAAAGACCTACAGATTTTGATGCATGTATCTGTTCACGAACACAAAAAGTGACGGGAAACTGTTTAACGCGTGGCTGTAGAGCTCTGCAAATCTACTACGTATCAAACAAATAGAGAGGCGACAGTGTATAACAACCCACAAAACGTGATCATGAAATGCTCATAAATGTCTATTACCTTAAACTTTAATGCCAGTATTCCACTTTACAAACTATTTACATCCAAAAACAGTCCACAAACACGGACCAATCTCGAGAGTCCGTGTCGCGGTAAAAACCTACCGGGTTCGCACTTCCACTTTCTGTGACCACCACTTCCGCATGTGGTTACGCGCAAAAAAGAAACACTGTCATCTAGTGGCGTAAATGTTTTTTCTCTGAAATTCAAGTTTTAAGGGGAAAGATGACGGCAAATCCTGAAAGCAGGACTCAAAACAATCTCTTTAAACACCGCATCTAGTCCTTTTCCTTGTCTACCATGGACATTTTATTAAAGTCGTCATCTATCATTGGAATGCATTTTTGTGTATTTGGATGATGGAGCAGCAGTGCTGTGGCAGATGTCACTTGTTTTTCAGCCATTAATTTATCTGAGGGGTGAAGACACTGTAAAGAGGACTAATGAGCAATGATGTTTATGGTCTGGTTATTCTTTTCTCTCCTTTGTCCAAAAACAGAGCTAATGAAAGCCACGGCTCCCTCGCGGGAGTCTGTTAGAATTTCATCTCTATAAAATGCCTGTGCAAGAATCATGATTTTTGACCTTGTCTCACATCCTATTCCCAGATTCCCTCCAAACTCACACATTTAACTGTAATTTCTTCATTAACTCTGCAGCTTCTTTGAAGACAGCTCAAAATCCATAACTGTGAAGATGAAAGTGTCCCACAGAACAGGAGCATACATTTAAATTCTACAGATAAGCTGAAGGACAATTCTAGATAAGTAACAAATAAAACAAAAAGTCACTCATCAAATGCTGTACATGTCACTGAAAACTGCATTTATAGCCGTAAAACACAATTCTTTGAATAGAGTCATCTTCTCTGTCAATGTCACACGGTACTGGTGCTTTTTTCTCTCTTTAAAGAAATGCAAACTTTTTAAAGTGCCAGAAAAGTCGCTATATTGTAATCTCAAAGACAGCGTTTCCCAGCTTTTATTGAACCACTACAGATTGACATTAGAAAAATTCCACCAAACAAAAATGTAACAAAAAGCATATGCAATGAAATTTTTTTTTTATAGTATCCTTTTGTTGTTTAATTTTTACACCCATCGGGTAGTACTACTACTGAATGGAGTAGTATCCACAAATTCAAATTAATTAATAAATACAGTGCTCCGCGACTTATGTTCTTTTACTATAGTGCGATGTAACTCACACACTGTACATTAGTCCTATGTCAGTCACCTATGCTATCAGAGTGTTAACGTCATAATCTAAGACATAAAAACATCAGAGGAGTCTGACTTATGCTCAGGAGCCGTAATGAAAGAAAGAAAGTTCCATTGTTAACATAATACAAACTGGTCAGAAAAGTCAACTTGGAAACTGATAGCTGCAACACCTTACAAAACTTGAGTAATTATGGAATAGTTGTTGAAGTTAATGTGGATATTTGATTTATGGTCACGGTCATTCAACATTCTTAACTTTTGCTCGACATTTTTGCCTGTACTTGCTGAAGGCAAGAAACTCTCACACTGAGAAACTTGAGAAACTGAATTTTTAATCGACAGAGCCTTCGACACCAATCCCTTGGTCGATGTTTCCCTTTTTTCCAATCCTGACACACCAATGTTTCCCTTTTTTCCAATCCTGACACCCTGACCTGTTATTTTTACCCGCATTATTTTTATCAAATGGAAATCTCTCTTTCGGTGACAAAGATCAACATGTTTTCATCTTCTTCCATTTTGCCAGTTGTTTACTTTTTTTTAGGATGAAACTTTTTGGAAGAACCAAAATATAGTCTGGATGCATCATTATGTAGCATGCACAACGGCGTTCATTTGAGAGTCTGTGGAACCAACACCAGTCTTCACTGTTCACCAGCTTGCTGTCCTGGAATGACTGACTGAAGGAGGTCCCTGGAGCAGCACAAGGTCAGCCTGGCCTTGATTGACAGAATAAGAATAGTCAGATTACGAGTTCTTCATTTTCAGAGACAGGTGGGTCTCAGCCTCGCAAAGATTTGATTCAGGTCTTATTCAGGTTCTTTTCTAATAACCAGCAGAATACTGCTGCTTGCAGGGAACGCATGGAATTCGGGGCTAAAGGTCACACAAGACCAGGAGCAGTTGTTTTTCATGTATAACACCAACTGAAGATTGTAAGTTATGGTAAAATGTGCATATTTATGCAGTTTGTAAGCACAGAATATTTCATTTTTTTTTTTTTAAGTTTTGACTTT